TTATTGATCCTGGAATGTTGCAGGGGCCAGATGAACTGTCAAACATGTGAAGGGGGTGGATTACTGGAAATGTTTGCACATATAACTTTAGTTTTGAAAAAGGGTGTGTGTTTTTGTGGTGAAAAATAACATTCACACAGAACTTAACAATAAGACGTTGTTAGTAATATAATTAATCACAACTACCGAAGGTGAAAATCTTGAAACTGAGGCTGTCCTACTTTAGGCACATCATGAGAATATGAAATTCTCTGGAGAAGACAATAATGCTGGCAAAAGTGGAAGGCTGCAGGAAAAGAGGAAGACCAAATATGAGATAGATTGACTTCCTAAAAGCAGCCACAGCCTTGAGGACAGGACATTTTGGAGATCGTTCATAGGGTCGACAATTTGATGGCACATTAAAAAGAAAACTTACTCATTTGTTTCAGGCAATGAGATCCTAAAAGTCAGTTTTCAAAAATAACATGGGTGGGAACAGAATTACTGGCTATTTCTGGACAGTGTGTATGATGGGAATCAGTTTCTAGTTACTGTTTAAATGTAGCTGTAAGAGACATTTTTTAGAGATTTTGACAGACATGTTCCAACCTTTGAGCTGTTTTTCTGATCTGTCCTCCCTCCCTGCAAAAATAAGGAGCAAGCAATGAATCATGCAATAAGAAATGGAACAGGTTGTATATTCCCAATGCTGCAATGAGCCATCCCAATAAAGTACAGAGACCTATAGAATGGTGTGATCATAGAAGGGTAAAGGAGAGGAGAAGGAAAACTTTGGTCAGTGGTCTGTCACATACACCGTGGGGGTTTTTTGCTGTGAGAATGAGCACATGATGCGTTCCATGAAGGGCAGGTCTCAAACAACAGACAAAAACCGAAATTGCACAGGATATTGCTATCGGATTTTGTCCTTTTGAAATTAATCACTATAATGATGAATGAGGGCAAGTGACCTTTAAAAAGTCTCTTCTTGAGCTCGGCACTTACCTCTAAACCACTGGCTCACAGCTGATGTTGTGAGAACAATCACTCAAATCCACAATGATGAGGGTGGAGAATATGATGATGATGATGGAGAACAGTAATGGTTGTTGTGGATTTTTCGGGCTCTTTGGCTGTGTTCTGAAGCAGCCTGAAAAACGCACAACAATCATCAGATCCCAGCTGTGAAAGCCTTCAAGAATACAAAGAACAATAATAATTGTAAAAAAAAAACACCACAACCCGCAAACATCCACATCGTTCTAACTTCTTGCAACACATCTAATGCTTCGGCCCCTTTAAGATGCGTAGGTTGCAAAACAGTGGACTGTTATTTATAGCTCTTGGAGGACATGTTAACATACAAGGATCTTTCACCTCCATGCTGCCTTTTTGCTAGTAGTTTTGCTGTAAGGGGTGCTGCTGTAGATAGGAAGAAAGCTCATATCAGTCCTGTTCTCCCATGCCTGTTCTTGAGATTACCAAGAAGTTAGGAGTGCTCACGGCATATGTGGATGAATATCTGTCAACGCTTCTGCGCAGCTGCGTTCACTCAGATCATGCTGAAATGACATTAAAAACATTTTTCTGGCAGAGACACTCTCCTTTCTTTGCCCCTCACGCTTTCCTCTCTGCTGGCTCCACTCAGGCTCATGCGCTCCACTCATGCTTCCTCCTCTCACAACTAAAGATGAGGAAATGAGTTTGATAAAAAACTTACTTGCTTAGCTTGCCACTCCAGAGCCATCAACCAGTATAGTTGCAACAGTATTCTCCCACAAATGAAGCTTTTCTAAGCTCTAGAAAGCTCAGCTTAGTTTCTCTTCTGAGGCAGTGTGAAAGGGAAAGAGCTGACCCACCCATAGAGGCCAACTCTGCAAGACTGGGGAAAGGAGGAGAAGGGATTAAAATCATCACATTTCAGGGCTTCAGCGGAAGCCTTAGGATATGAATCAGGAAAACGGTGGTTCATGATGGTTCATGGTTTGCCGCTATTCACGAACCATGAACTTCCATGAACTTTCAGACAAAATGAACCACTTTGTGATTCATGTGACTGGGAATTCTAGGAGAGGAAGAAGAGTCTCCATATGAGATAAAAAGGTAAAGGTTCCCCTCAACATTTAGTCCACTCGTGTCTGACTCTAGGGGGCGGTGCTCATCCTGCTTTCAAGCCGTAGAGCCAGTGCTTGTCCGAAGTTAGTTTCCGTGGTCACGTGGCCAACGTGACTAGGGAACGCCGTTTTTACCTGCCCACCAAAGTGGTACCTATTTATCTACTCCCATTTGCATGCTTTCGAACTGCTAGGTTGGCGAGGAGCTGGGACAAGCAACGGGCGCTCACTCCGTCGCGTGGATTCGATCTTATGACTGCTTGGTCTTCTGACCCTGCAGCACAGGCTTCTGCGGTTTAGCCCGCAGCGCCACCAGCTGACTCTTTTTCTTTCTTTTTACTCTCTTCAAGTTTGGCAAAAAGTGGGTTTGGGGCATCTGAGTTATAGCCTCCCACACCAGGACTCCCCAGGAAAGTGCTCTTTAGCCAGCTGCTAAGGTCTTTCAAAAAGGAGAGCTTGTATGACAAGGACGGCTGGACAGTTCAATGGTTTCGGTCTCTGGCTGTGGAGCCAGACATTGGGAGCTTGATTATCCCACTGCACCTTCTTGACAGAGGCTGGGTTTGAAGATCCATAGGGTCCCTTCCATCTCTGTAGTCCTAAGATGATCATGATGATTGTGATGATAAATACGGTGCTCTGCAAGACATGGTCACAGGGCAGGATTTGGTCCAGTTTCAGGACCAGGCATATCAACATGGGGTGGTGGTGGAATCCCTGATGTAGGAAGAAAAGCTTAATTAAGTATTGCCATGGACAGAGATCTTGAAACACTTTTTTTCCAAGTACATCTTGAGCAGCTGCTCAAGTGGAAGGCCTACAGCATCCGGTTGGGATATCACTGGTATAAAGGCCAGCCCTTTCTGTGAGGCAGTCCCCTCAGGCAGTGAAATAAGGTGAATGGGAGGTCTGAAGAAAGAGAAAGCAAGAAGAACATGCTGTGAAACAGAAGGCAGAGGGCCATCCTGAGAAGGTCCTTGCTGCTCCCACCTTGGGTGACTCGCAACTCCCAGAAGCCTTCACCACTAACTGTGCTGGTTGGGGAATTCTGGGAGTTGCTGTCCAAGAACACCTCGGTTACTCAAGGTCGGGAACCTCTAAATGGCCAGCTAAAAAGTGACCAAATAAAGAAACATCTTGTTGTCTTCATTGCCAGCCCATCTCTTCTACCTTTTCTGAGTGATGAGTCAAGAGAGTCAGGGTGTTGTTAGAAGGGGCCCCCTCCCATACAATGACGGGCGGTACCTTTTCTTTCCCTTTGTCAGAGGCAGTAGAACAGCTTGAGGAACAAGAGTCCTCCTGGAACGTCGGCTTCACCTCATTTTCAACTGCATGTGGTGGGTGCCGCCACTACGCCTGTTGTCTTCACTGCCAGCCCACCTCTTCTACCTTTTCTGAGTGATGAGTCAAGAGAGTCAGGGTGTTGTTAGAAGGGGCCCCCTCCCATACAATGACGGGCGGTACCTTTTCTTTCCCTTTGTCAGAGGCAGTAGAACAGCTTCCACCACCTCTCACAGACCACCGTTTGAATATACATAACCTTCCAACATGGTACATTAGGGGCAACATGAATGTTAACCTTGACAGTCACCAAACATGGAGAAAAGAGGAGGAATTATGTATGATTTTTCTCTCTCTATTTCTGTACTTTTAGGGGTCTCTTTGGAATGTGAAGAATGTGTGGGTATGGGACACAACTGTAATGGTCCTAAAATAACATGCCCTCCGGAGAAAGATTCCTGTGCCATCATCGCGTCAGAGATGCTAGGTAAGCTGGTAAGAACTACAGTGGTGCCCCACATAGCGACGATAATCCGTTCTGGAAAAATCGTCGCTATGTGGAATCGTCGCTACACGAAACAAAAAAGCCCATAGGAATGCATTAAAACACGTTTAATGCGTTCCTATGGGCAAAAAACTCACCGTTATGTGAAAATCCTTCATACGGCCACCATTGTCGCTGCCTGGTAAGTGAGGAATGGGTGCAAAAACACAGCGGGCGGCCGGCCATTTTTTTACCCGGCGGCCATTTTGTAACAGCCGATCAGCTGTTCGGAAAACATCACTATGCGAAAATCGGTAAGCAAAACAGCTTACCGATCATCGCAAAGCAATTTTTCCCTATTTAAAACATTGCAATGCGATCACAAAAAATTAATCGCTATGCGGATTCATCGTTAGACGAAGCGCTCGTTATGCAGGGCACTACTGTATACCTAAAGAGACGAGGCCATCCATTTGGGTTTGACTTTTTGAGAAGAACTTCTCCTAGTTGAAAGATGTCTTTCTTTTCCATATTGGGGAAAAAAAGAGTCAAGGTCTGTTTCATTTAATATGGAAGAAAGAGAAAGCGACAGATCTGCCTGTTTTGGAACCATGAACTGGGCTGGTTCGTGGTTCAGTTTCTGGTTTCGTTTGGTGATCCGGTTTAGCTGAAATGGAACAAAGCGCTGAACTTTTTTTCCTGAAAGTGCTTTGTTTTGTTTCAGCATCCTGAAAGGCAGCAGGGCTGGCTCCTTATACAGAAGCCGGACCTGCGCATGCATCCACCTGCCCAGGTGAGTGACGGGCACATGCAGTAGGTCTGACTTACGTGCAAGGAGCTGGCCCTGCTGCCTCTCAGGATGATGGTGGCAGTGACAGAAGTGGCTTCATGACAAGCCAGGGAGGTGATGGGGGCACTGGGAAGGGGAGGGGCATGCAGACGGGTGCTTCTTCTGACACAAATCCAAAAAACCGAACTATGAACTGTTTTCTTTTGGGGGTGGAGGTCATTGACCCCTGTTTCCCTGAAAATAAGCCCTAACCAGAAAATAAGCCCTAGTATGATTTTTCAGGATGCTCGTAATATAATCCCTACCCCCCCAAAATAAGCCCCAGTGAAGTGAAATCCCGCTCTCCACCCTTATGCAGCAACCAGAAGAAGATGACATTACTGTGTTTGAATAAATGCAGATGGTTGTACATTTTAAAAAATCCCCTAAAATAAGCCCTACTGTGTCTCCTAAAATAAGCCTTACTGTGTTTTTTGGAGCAAAAATTCATATAAGACCCTGTCTTATTTTTGGGGAAACACGGTAGTTCATGGTTCATGGTATGTGAGTAGCTACGGACCATGAACCAACATGCACCATGGAGTTTTCCAGTTTGTGTCCATCTCTAGTGGTAGCCCTACAGTTGGACTAAAAAGGTCCAGCTTGGTCTTGGGCAGGGATGGGGGTCACAAGTCTGGAGCGCATTCCCCATGCATTGTGTTGTGCCCAGGACACAGATTGTACCATTGTGCATTCTGTAGGCAGTCCAAAATATGATCTTTTCCCCTTTGTGATCACACACCTAGTCATTTTAACTCCACCATGACGGACCCCAGTGTTCCAGAGTTCTGACTGGAACTGTTTGAGGTCCAGGATGGAGATCTTCTGTGTTGAACTGGGAGTCTTCTATAGCTGAATAGAGATAGGCATGAACTAAAAAAAAACCCCGACCAACCAGGATGTTTGTTAAAAATAGCCAGTTTGTTGGTTCAGGTCGGTTTTGGTTCGTCAAATCTGAGAAACCTGAATTGACCCAAACCATGAACTATTTTTTACCATTTAATGAACTTATTGGTTTGTCTCCACCCCCTCCCATTGCCCCTCTTACCTCCCTACCTGGTCCCGTTGCCTCTTCCTCTTCGTCTTCCACCCCCACCGCCATCTTGAGAGGCAGCAGACCTGGCTTCCCTTCCAGGACCTGGGCGGGCAGTCTCTGCACATGGCCCCTGCTATCAGCTGATAATCTCCCAAGATGGCAGTGGCAGAAAAGGGAGAAGAGGAGGAAGAGGTGGCAGGGCGAGGTGGTGAGGTGACGGGGGCAATGGGAAGGGGGAAGGCTGCTTGGGTGGGTGTTTTCGTTTCCCCTCCCCCAGGCACAAACAATGAACCATGACCATGACAAAGGACCATTTTTGTGGTCCATGCCCACCTCTACAATGGAACTATGCTTCAGCATAGAAATTAACATACCATATTGCAAGCAGATCCCTGTTTTCTTTGGTCATATTTAGAAATTCACTAGTCGTTGCTTGTTTCTTACTATGTGCCAAACATTCCTAGAGTGTGTAAAACATTCGGATGCAATCAACTATGACACCAACACCAGCTATTGCCACTGAGTAACAAGGGGCTTCTTTTTTCCATCCAGGACAAAGGACCCTTGTCAAGACTTGCCTTCCGTCCAAAGCCTGCAACTTAGGCCTTTCCAGCATCAATATGGGCAAAATCGGCATTCAAAAGAATTTCATTTCCTGCTGTGTAGGAGACGGGTGCAAAAGGAGCACGGACACCAGTATGTGATGTTTGCATCTTTCCTCTTGCTTGCAATCATGTACCATCTCCATTGCACCAAAACTGGACGTTAAAGCAAACCCAAAAAACTGAAGCATGGAGGCACCTTTAAGATAAAGGTCATAACATCAGTTAAAGAATAGGTTTGTTCCAGTGTGTGCTTTTGTGACCATCGAGGTCTGACATGATGAAGTGCATAATAATCCTCAAAGGGTCACAATGATGTGGAGCTTTTTTGGGATACAGAGTGATGGAACGGCTGGATAGCTCAGTGCTTTAGGTTTCTGGCTACAGAGTCAGAGGTTGGGAGTTTGAATCCCCACTGTACCTCCTTGACAGAGGCTGGATTTGAAGATCCATAGGGTCCCTTCCATCTCTGTAGTTCTAAGAGGATGATGAATACAAAATATAAAACAGTCAATCAAAATTATAAAAACATTGACTGATATTAGATGTATATTAGATGTATATTTTAACCTAAAACTATCTATTAAATATTGATGTTATCTATCTATCTATCTATCTATCTATCTTTATCATCATCATCAACAACAACAACAATAACAAAATATCATACTGAAATGAATTTGTTAGTCTTAACAGTGCAAAAAAAGTTTTTCTTTTTTGCTCAAGCAGATTAATGCAGTTTGCTTCATCAAAGCATCTTTATTGCATTTTATTCTGCAATATGCCGCTTTAAGAAAGAGATGACTTTCTAGCCCCTCTTCTTCAGAAGCGCTTCTTTCAACTTTTTAGAGAGAAGCTCCGTCCCAGTAAGGTAGTGGAACTAATTGCCTCGAGAGGTGGCAAGTGCTCCAATACTGGAGGCATTCAACAGAAACTTTATATATTTAATATATACAGTATATTAAATTTTATTTATATCCCGCCTATCTAGTCAATTAAGACCACTTACAACAAAATATAACAATATAATTAAAAACAATTTTATATAAGGGGAAAAACTTTGGACAAGATGAGACAGACACTAGGAAAAGGAGAGAGGGGGGAAACTTAGATAACTTTTGACAGATATCCTTTAATTTGTATTCCTGCATTGAGCAGGGAGTTGGATTTGATGGCCTTATAGGCCCCTTCTAACTTCACTATCCTGTGATTCTATGATTCCCTGGTTTTTTCCTGATAGCCCAAGTTTGAAGACTGCTTCCGAACTATCCTTCAAACACCTGTATTTTAGACAAGGCTAATCTTGTTGCAGGGCCAAAAGACCGCAATTGTTGACTGCGCATCTGCTCCTGTGCAGAAAAGTGGAGAAATTAATAATGATAATCCTGAGCCATCAAGTCAATTCTGACTTATGGCAACCCTTTTCAGAGTTTTTTAAGTAGAGAGTACTCAAAAGTGGTTTACCATTCCCTTCTTCTGGGGGCCTTCTGGGACTGTGCAGCTTGCCCAAGGCTACACAGGCTGGCTATATTCCCAGGAATCAAACTACCAACCTCTCATTCCACAGCCAGGTATCTGAACCATGGAGCTATCTAGCCAGCCATGGAGAAATTGGGAGTGGGGGGCGGGGAGGGAACAAAAGATTAAAAAAAAAGGAGGAAAGGGGGAAAATTTGGATCCTATTTCTTGGCCTTCAAAGTAGTTCAGCAAAAATTGCCCAACCCTTAATAGATCCTTTTGCAGGCCATGAATGTGTGTGTGTGTGTGTGTGTGTGTGTTATTAATCAGCAGCATGGGGGTGGGGAGGTGGTTCAGAATTACGTGTTTTCCCCTCATGCAAGTGCAAATCAGCAATAAGATGCTGGCCATTAGATCTCAGCCTTGCCAGTCACAGCACTGTGGGAGGGGCCAAGGGACTCGGTATGCGCCCGGTATTTATATTTTAGCTTTAGCATGGCTCCTCTTCCATCCTGAACTGATTTGTTCCTGTTTCTTGCAGTGCCCGATAGAAACACCACACTGAATGGAAGGAAGTGCCCGGCTTGCTATGCCTTTAAAGAGACGTGTGAAGAAACCATGACCAACTGTGCTGGAGATGAATTATTTTGCTTAGAGGTGTCTGGGACTTCATCCCTGGGTAACTACTTGCAAATGGCAACAGCAGCAGCAGCAAAGCTGCAAAAGATAGCAATTACGATTTTGGTTAAACTTATATCTGTTATATAACACCAGTCAGAGACTGTCTCTTGTATTTTCAAATAATTATTGCATGCCATCAGGTTGGTTTGGACTTAGGGTGACACCTCGCCACGGTTTTCTAGGTATTGAACACCTGTAACTGGCTTGCAGTTCCTTTCTTCTGGGGGCACTCTGGGGAAGATGTAACTTGCCCAAAGTTACATAGACTGGCTCTCTTATCTAACAGGGCACGATAGGGAATTGAACTCCAATATATACAGTGATGCCTTGCAAGACGAAAATAATTTGTTACACAAGTCGTTTTGTATTGCGAAAATGTTGTATTGCCAAGCACGGTTTCCCATAGGAATGCCTTGAAATTTAATTAATGCATTCCTATTCGTCTTGCAAAACACAACCATAGAAAAATTTGTCTTGCAAGTCACCAAAAAAAATTGCAAAATGCTTTCGTCTTGTGAGTTTTTCGTTGTGCGGGGCGTTCGTCTTGCGAGGCATCACTGTACAAATGTTTAGAGACGGGCACAAACCAAAAAATGGACCAGGAAGTTCACCAAAATTGCTGGTTTGTTGGTTCAGTTTGGGTTCATCAAAAGTGACAAATCACAACGAACCGAACCAATAACTTTTAAAGCAATTTTTTGTTTGGTTTGGTTTGGTTGTCCACCTCACCCCAAACAGCCTGCTCCTGTCAATCAGAAGCACTGGGCAACCCCGGGAGGGACCTGGAGACTACTGGATTGAAGATCAGGGAGCCAAATATGCTGCTCAAAAGCATCTGGGGGAGTTACTTGTCCCTTATTTATAAGATCAATTCACAGGAGCCACTTCTGCTAGTCAGAGGATCCCTTCTATGCCAGAACCAGGTTAGCTCAGATCTCCAGTGGCACATTGCTTTCTTTATCAGGCAGCCTGTCACTCCCCTTACCCCCACATGACCACACAACAGTGTGGCATTGTCCACGGGATTTAGAGAAAGGGTGTTGTCCCTTCCGAGTCCACTTCCTCATGAGCAACACCCTGTGTTAGTTTTCCTGACATGAACTGTTGGCATCTCCCCCCAAGCCAGCTGCTAAAGGCCACTTTCCTGGGGGTGGGGAATCAGCTTTGAAAGTGTACAATGAATATCTGAAATCCAAACTTGGAGGGGGTGTAGAGGAGTCAGGGGAAGCTTCTCTGTAATTTTTGGTATCTCTTTGTGGCTGGGGAGCTGTTCTAGGGCTTCCAAACCTCCAAACCAAAATGAACCATCTCTATGTGGCTGGGGCTTCCAAACCTCCAAACCAAAATGAACCAATGTGTGGTTTGTTTGTTTTTCAAAAGTTTGGGAAGTTTGTGGTTCATTGATTTCAACAAACCATGAACCACAAGGAATCACCATTTTGCTGGTTCATGCCCATCTCCATAAACATTCAAAAATACCTTGACCCATCCACCTTCACACTCACCTACAAAGAGTAACTCAACAATAAACCCTAGGGCATGGGTGAGTAACTGTAAGCCTCCATATCTTGTTGTACAGCATCTTCCACCATTCCTCATCACTGGCTATGCTGGCTAGGGCTTATGCTGGTTGTAGTCTATCAGCATCTGGACAATCACAAATGAATTGCTGCTACACGTCTTAATATCAGCCTTCATATGTGTCTGCGACTTGAGCCCTCATCCAGGAAAGCCTGTGGCTCTAATCTGACTCTATTGGACCAGAGATGTAATTTGTGCAAACAATAGTATTGATTCAAATTAACAAGCCAGAGCAATTTCATCAAGAAACTAGCAGCAAGCAGAAACATTCTCGAATTTCTATGTACCAATGAAAGCCTATGTTCTTGAGCCTACAGATTGTGACTTTGAGGATGCTCTTAATCCGTTGGGATCAGGAAAAAAGGGCTGAAATCCAGTTGCTTCATTACATGTGTGGAAAGCAAATGGTGTAACATTCAGTCACCTCCAGTGGGCAATGAATGAGTCGCAAATGGGATTGTTTTGGAGGTGCATGCATCTGCCGCCTTGCCTCACATGTGAGAATCCCAATGGGGACTCATTAATTGCCAGCTAGAACTGACTGAATGAGATACTGTTTGCCTTCCCAGTGTGTAACTAAGAACCAGGATTTCAGCCAATTTAAAAGAAGAATGTCCTCATACATTTGGGGGGGGGGAGAAGAGAAGTTGCTTCAAGCTGGTTCCTACAAGGTTGTTGAGATCCCTCAGAGCTACCCTAGCTCTTCAAATCTGTAGGTGTAGTAATTCCTCTCTCTTTTTTTCATTTTTCTTTACAGGAGCTATTGCTACACCAGTCGTCATGAAGGGCTGTGCAAACAGCGCTGCCTGTTACGAACTGAAGGATGCAAAATCTACTCTTGGGTCACTCAGTATGGTTTATAAAGCCGGATGCACTGATGGGGCATCGCCAGGTAGCCCTTCAGAATTCTGGGGATTCCTTTTCTCAACCATGAGTGGACTCTTGCTTGTAAAGTTTCTTGTTTGAGTTGTATTGAAGTTTTTTGGGGGGAGTTGCAGTGGTTTTCCTGCTTTCAATTAATTGCCTTTCCTGCTTGTATGCGGCTCTTTCTAAGTCATGCAAGACTTCCAGAGATGGTAATGGAAAACTTTCAACCGAGCATGACCTTATAGTGCTGTGGTTAAACTGCAGTACTACACTGAAGACTCTGCTCATGACTCAAGTTTGATCTTTATAGGCTCTGATAGCCGGCTCAAGGTTGAGTCAACCTTCCATCCTTCTGAGGCTAGTAAATAAAGCACCCAGCTTGCTAGTGAAGCAGAATCAATGTGTAGCCAGCATAGCTAACTTATAAACCACCTGAGAGTGCTTTAAGCACTATGGGGCAGTTATAAGAAGCACACTGCTTTGCTTTGCTTTGTTTGCCCATTAAACAAGAACCCAATAGTTCTGCTCTGCTTCACCCTAAGAGTGTTCATGGGACAGATGACAAATGCAGCTTGTATTCATAACCAACAGAGGTCCATAACCAACAGAGCAGCGGGGTGAAATTTGGAAAGGACTAAAGAGGGAAGGTGATATTTTTAGGGGCATTGGTGAGATGGGTCACATGCATTAGACCTCTGAAACCAATGCATTAGATCTTTGAAAGAGAAACTAAGGGCTGATTTTGCTGTGACTGGATGCCGTTCAGTACAGCCTTTCTTATAAATAAGCTTCATTCAGAAGAAAATAGCACTGATGTTGACGGCGACAAGTTCCAATCAAGGGCATCTGTTGCTTTTCTGTTAATGACAGTTTCAATTCATATGTGAAAACTGATTTTTCCTCAATAACCACTCAGGTCCAGCAACAGCATGCTGGAAGCTACTTGTCTGAAACAGTGTGTGTGTGTGTGTGTGTGTGTGTGTGTCTGTCTGTCTGTCTGTCTGTCTGTCTGTCTGTCTGTCTGTCTGTCTGTGTGTGTTTGTGTGTGTGTGTACGTAATTACTCACAGATGCTTGCTCCATTATGCTCCTTACTGAGCCTACAACCGCAGTTTCATCTTCCGGTACATTTAAGCTAAGGACACAAGTAATACAGGATGTTTTTCACCCTCTAAGGAAGTGACATTCATTTTTTAAAATTAATTTCAGGGCTGGATTTCTTTCTAGTCATCATCTTTGCTTTCCTTTCTGTTCTGATCTTCTTTCTTGCTTTCCTCCTGCGATCTGTAACATGGTGCATAAACTGGATAAGCCTATCACATATCTAATATGGTCAAAAAGTAACTACCGATCTAAGCTGTAGGTTGGCAAAACATTGGTTTGCTAAGTAGGCAGCACAAAATGTCGAGTGTGGTGGCCAAACTTTGTGCCAAAGATCAAATTTGCAGAATGAAGGGAATCTCTCCATTATAGATGGTGCTGTTATCTACACACGAAGTAAATCTCTTCCCTAAAGTTATGTAGCTTGTGTTTCACTGCTGTAAAATCCCAAAAGGATCTTGGCCATCTTGAAATTAATTGGAAGATTTTTATTTTAATTATTAAGTTTTTAATCCTTTGCTATGGCCATTTAATAAAACATGGTACCCCTTTCATGGCTTTGAATGTATTTTGATGACTTTATTCTTGTTATAATCTACCCAGACGTCATTATTTTTGGTTGGCGTTCAGTGGAGGCAAACTGAAAAATAAATGGTCTTTCTGCAAAGTAATGATTGTAATTTTATATCATTTTTCATCCACAATTATTTTATGTATTTTATATGTTTGTATTGATGCACTCTATTCACCCTTCCAGAGTACTCTTATACAGTTGAACACTGTCCTACTGACATGCATAAAGTGTAATATATAAAATAAAAATGTGCAAAATGCCAAATGCAGTGTGGGCTAATTTGTTTCTTTCAGTATTTGCAGGTACAACACACAATTATTTCATTACCTAGAAAATACCAATCCTGTAAGAAACTGGATGTAATTTTAAAAATTACTTTCTACATCAATATCAGGACGGAACTATTGGGGTTTCTGATGCAAGTCAATGGGAAACTTTCACATTAGACCCAGATCTGGGACTTGAACAGAGCTGAATGGGGTACCCATTGTTTTGGAAAAATCAAGATACGTTCCGAAGCTTCAAAGTGACCCCCAGATCAGATCAGAGGGTGGGTTCAGAGCTGTAACAGAACCCTTAAATGAAACACAATGATAACAAAGCTTAAAATCAGTGAAGCCTAGAAACAATCAAACTTGTTGCCCTAAATTAAACTACACCACAAGCAAATTTTAGATTGATCACATTATTGTCCCTTGTGTCCTTTTTTTCTTTTTAAATTAAATAGCCAGAGCTTGGAATGAACACATCACAAATAATAGGTGATGGCCATTATTTCCTATTTTGTTAGCAAAGGCAAAGCTAAGAAGAAACTAATGTTTTATCTGTGAATCCACTGAATAAACTGGGCTGAACTTTTTGATATACTCCTTGATCTTTTATTCATCATATGGACTCCTAAGAGATGCACTATGTTTATTATACACCAATAAATGGACTATGTTGTATGCATTATGCATACATGCTGGATAACCGAGGACAATGATAAGACATTCTTTGGAAAGAAAACAAAACTTAGGGTTTAATGCTCTGATTATTGCACCTTTGGCTGCAGGGATGAATATTATAGGTATTTAAGGACCCAATTAGAGCATATGTTAGCTTTGCATCTAGAAGCTCATAGAACATTTTCTCTCCAAGGAATAATGATTCCTTTCTGTATCTTTGATTAAGCCATCAGCAAAGAAAAGTATGCCAGCTAACAACCCTCAGAGTGAATAAACTCTGTGCTGCAGGAAACAAATGATTTTAAGAGGTAACCTACACCAGAGGAGGCCACTGAATCCTATTTTTCTGGCAGGGCAAACCCTCTACAGCAGTGGTGTCGAAATGTGGCCCTCCAGATGTTCTTGGACTTCAACTCCCAGAAGCCTTCACCACCACCTCTGCTGGCCAGGATTTCTGGGAGTTGAAGGCCAAGAACATCTGGAGGGCCACAGTTTGACACCACTGCTCTACAGTATAGGACCAAATTCTGAAACTGCTATCCAAGGTGCTGAATGTATAGAACCATAGAATCGTGGAGTTGGAAGGGGCCATTGAGTCCAACTCCCTGTTCAGTGCAGACATCCAAATCAAAGCAGATCTCACAGATAGTTGTCCAATTTTCTCTTGAATGTGTCCAGTGTTGAGTGCCCACCCCACCCCTAAGGTAATTGGTTCCACTGATGTACTCTTCTAACAGTTGAGATGTTTTTCCTGATAATGGGCTTCCTGTAACTTAAGCCCATTATTACATGCCCTGCACTCTGGGATGATTGAGAACAGACCCTGCCTCTCCTCTAAATGACTACTATTCAAGCATTTGAAAAGTGCTATCAGATCTCCCCTCAGTCTTCTATTCTTAAGGCTAAACATTCTTTCAGTTTTTTCTCACAGGGCTTGGTTTCCAGTCCCCTGATCAACCTTCTTGCCATCCTCTGAACCTGCTCTAGTCGGCATCCTTCTTGAAGTGTGGTGTCCACCCCTAATCATTGTTACCATCCTCTGAACCATCCTCTAGTTTGTTGGCATCCTTCTTGAAGTGTGGTGTCCAAAAACTGGACACAATGCTCTAGATGAAGCCTGATTAATGCCAAATAGGGAGGAACTAATGCCTCATGGGATTTGGAAGCTATACTTCTATTAAGGCATCCTTTGAGAACAGGGTTCAGCCTCTTAGATAGCCCCTAAAAGTTCAGAGGAAAACGGAGCTGTTCCACTGCACCCACAAAACCATATTTGCCACCCTACCCTCTGCTCACAGTGACATCTGCTGTGATACCATCTTGCTTTCTTTTTGCCTCAGGCAGGAAATTATCTGAGGTATCACTCAGTGTACTTCATACTGACTAGCAACCACACAGAGATATGGCTTACATATTGGACTGTATTTGGAGTGGTCCCATGCGATCTATTTCCTGGCAATCATGTGATGTATGGAAGATAGTGCTCTAGCTAAAACCTGATCCATGCCCAAGTGTTACCTTTTTGGTCCAGCTTTAGGGCTGCTCCTTTGAGGGGCTGGATGAAGTGATTCTCTAGCACAGTGGTCCCCAACCTTGGGCCTCCAGATGTTCTTGGATTTCAACTCCCAGAAATCCTGGCCAGCAGAGGTGGTGGTGAAGGCTTCTGGGAGTTGTAGTTCAACAACATCTGGAGGCCCAACGTTGAGGACCACTGCTCTAGCAGATGGAAGCATTATTTTAAGGGAGATCACACCTTGCAAAGTGGCCTTTTCCAGATTGATTGATTGTTTTTTTTTTGCATTTCCTGCCATCTGACTGCAGCCAAAAGAGGGATTTCCTCTTCCTCAGTCATTTCTTGATGGAATTGGCCCAAAAAAGTGCTTTTAGCAAAAGAAGGGGAGGGGAGGGGAGGGAAAAGGAGAAGAGAAGAGAAGAGAGGAGAGGAGAGGAGAAGAGAAGAGAGGAGAGGAGAGGAGAGGAGAGGAGAAGAGAAGAGAAAGAAAGAAATAATATTTCAATGTTGTGAGTCACCTTGGTTCCTTTTCAACGAGAAAGGCAGGGTAAAATACTAGTATTACTACTGCTAGGGGAGGGAAGGGAACACACCAGATATGAAATTTTTTGAATTCTTCACCCTCACCAACATGGATGCTCTTTCCCAGTCCAACGAAAGCACTTGCTTTCCCCCCTATGCTTTATTCTCCTTGCCATCCCCTTCTTTCCCCACCCTGCTCAAATCTAAGCAAGTTCCACACCCACCTTAGCTGTTGGAGGTCAGTCAACACCTCAGCTCCTCCTCCTTGCCTCTGGGTAGCCAACCTTCACAAGGGACAGCTCCACGGCACCAAAAAAGGAAGCTGAAAAATTCTGTGGGAAAGTCTGAGCCACGGGGTGTGTGCGTCTCCCATTGCTCTGACAAATGAAAGAGAGTGAATAAAGTTGGGAAATCTAAATAAAAGTCTCTCAGTGAACCACGAAGACTGTCTCTAGTTCAGGCAGGGGATGGAAAGGATGCCAGAGTTCTTCTAAAGGATGATGCATGCTTTGCTTCGATGGATAACTGTGGAAAAGAAAAGGAAGGCGGAAAGGAGATTAGAAGGGGTGGAAAAGGAAAGGAGTTTAATGGACTCTGAATTGGTGTCATAAGACAGAGATGCTGGGAGGCTGACAAAGGAACCATTCTCTGCTCCCAGTTTGCCCCAGGGCGAGCCAAGAAATACAAGAGGGAGAAATTGTGAAACAAGAACGCACATGGACGGTGTTCCCAGCACCCAGTCTGAATATCAGGCTTAGGCCTGAAATAAAGGAGAATTCCTCTGGGTACACAGAAAGTGCTTTGTGGATCATTGGAGGACATATAAAGACAAACCACGTCCTGTGGGAAAATCAGGATAGGAGATCTGAGTCTGGAAAAGTTCATTTTTTGGGTATATCTCCCATACTAGTCATGCCGGCCAAGGGATTTGGGGAACAACAGTCTAAAAACTTTATGGCTCTACATGATGTCAACTGCTTTGTGGGGTGGAAGGTATGGCTCCTAAGCAGGTGGGATATGACTTGAATACCTATCCTTTATGAAATTAAGAGCACAGCAGATTGACAGCACCAGTGAGAAATTCAGCATTATTAGGCCCTTGGTCGTCAACCACTGACTTTCTGGCAAACCCTAAAAACTAAAGAAATACCCCCCTTGCTGGGAGCATATGTGTAATTGTATTTTATTGTTTTGTATTGTTTTTTCATGTGGTAGTAGGTTTATTTTGTATTAAAAAAGAAATAATAATAATAAAAGAAATACTCCCCTTGCATATATGAGAACACAGGGATTTAGAAGAAAAAGAATCTCAAGCTTACCTTCAAAGAACAAGTATCCAAACTTATGTTTCTCTCAGTTTCCCCTTCTTTAGCTTTTGGGTTTATTAGCTAATAAGAGAAGTTCTCCTGCTAGTCATAAGGGGAGAAAGCTGCTCAGTTCATGCTGGCACCAGATCTTTGAATAAGGTCTCAAGCTTGAGACACACGCAGAAGAAGTTTTGGAACCTGAGCTTATTATTACTTACTTCTTTTGGATGCCAGCTTTCAGAATTCTCCCATGCTAGCTAGAGAATTCTGGGAAATCTCAAAAAGCAACTATTCTAAGCACGGAGGCAGAGGAAAATCCTGATCAGGAGAGCAGAGAGACCTGGAAAAGAGTCCCACCTTTCCTCCTGTATACAGTGGTGCCTCGCTTAACGAGCGCCCCGTTTAACAACGAAACCGCATAGCGATGAAGATTTCACCTAGAGTGGCCTTTTAGGCCAGATGGACGGGATATAAATAAATAA